CGACGACGACGACGACGACGACGACGTCGAAGACGACGGCGACGACGACGACGGCGACGACGAGCGAAAGCGAGAGCGAGAGAGAACGACAGCAGGACCACGAAGGGCACGAAGTAGGCCACGAAGTGGCGACAGCGGGGACACGAAGGGAATGCGTATGGGGCCACGAAGAGTGCGAACGAGCGGGGGCCACGAAGTGCAGATCATGCGGGGCCACAGAAGGCAACTATGGAGCCACTGAGGGTAGCAACTGGGCCACGTAGGACAGTGAGGGGGACACAAATGGCGACAGCGGGGCCACGAAGGGCATGCACATGGGGCCACAACGGGCGCGACTCCTGGGTGCCTGGGTGTCGGGAACGCAGCGCTTGAGCCAATTGCAGGAAATTCCAACGCAAGGTCATTCTTCAGTAAGTTGCCAGCAAGTCTCCAGCGAGAGCGCGACTCCAGAGCGCCGGGAGAGCGATTCCTGAATAAATTGTGAGGAAGTCCAAAGCGAGAGCGCGATTCCTGAATAAAATGCGAGGAAGTCTCGGGCGGGAGCGGGGGTCCTGGCTAAGTTGTAAGGAAGTCTCAGGCGGGAGCCGTTGTTGTTGTAACCCAGGGGCCAGGGGCCCAGTTTGAGCATCAAGACTTTCCCTGTCAAAAAACAGGGAGCGAGCGTCGATGGGCACGTTTTGATTGAGAAAAAACAGTATGCACCGGTGGGGGGGATCAACAATAATTATTCTTCAGAAATGAGAATTCAATAACAACAACACCAACACCAACACCAACACCAACACCAACAACAACAACAACAACAACAACAACAACAACAACAACAACAACAACCACAACAATCATTTTAAGACTGTTCGCTCTTACTTGCCCGCGTGCCATGCAACGTGTATACCCACGCCCTCGATACCCGCCCCCTTCGTCTTCGAGCGTACCCCCTTCTGGGGGGATTCTTCTTTTTGCGGGGGCGGGCGGGCTTAGACAAGCGGGCGTGAACGGGCGGGGAATTATTCGGAGGATGGGGCACGCATCTCTTTGCCCACCATTGGAATTAGCGCGGGCCTTGCAAGAAGAGGAAGGGGGAGAACGAGGGAGAGTGGGAGGAAGGGAGGGGGAGGGACGAGGCTAAAGGGGAACACGCCAGGAGAGAGGGGGCGAGGAGGGGGGGGGGGGACGATTGGAGATAGAGAGACAGAGGAGGGAGGAAGGAGGAGGCTGGAGAGGGGAGGGCGAAGAGAGGAGGGAGGAGGGTTATGGGAGGAGGGTGAGGGGAGAGAGGAAGAGGGAGGAGGAGGGTGGATATGAGGGAGAGGGGAGGGAGGAGGGAGGTTGGATGGGGAGGAAGGGGCAGGAGGGTAAGAGTGTGAACGTTCGAGGAAGTCCTAGGCGAGGGCGTATTCCTCAAGGAAGAGTTGGGCGGGAGCGGGGGTCCCGAGTACATTGTCGGACGTCTCAGGCGGGAGCGCCGGTCGAGCGGGCGGACCCTGACGGGCGGGTCGGGCGGGCGGGACATTCAAACAGGATTTTTGCGTAAATCGCGAGGAAGTATTCAGCGAGAGCGCGATTCCTGAGTAAATTGCGAGGGCGTCCTTGGCGCGAGCGTGGTTCCTGAGCGTCGAGAACGCGATGCTGCAAGAAATTGCGAGGAAGTCCTAAGCGAGAGCGCCATTCATGAGCAAATTATGAGAAAGTCTCGGGCGGGAGCAGGGGTCCTGATTAAGGAAGTCTCAAGCGGGAGCGCCGTTTTTGAGTAAAATGTGAGAAAGTCTGAAGCGGGAGCGCCCTTCCGGATTAAATTTTGAGGAAGTCTCAGGCGGGAGCGGGGGTCCTGAGTAAATTGTGAGGAAGTCTCAGGCGGGAGCCGTTGTTGTTGTAGTCCGGGGCCCAACAACGCAATCTGATCCGCAAGGCTTTCCCTGTCAAAAAACAGGGTGCGAGCCCCGGAGGAAGCACTTCAATTGAAAAAAAACAATGGGCACCAGACAGGGGGGATCAACAATAATTATTCTTCAGAAATGAGAAGTTCAACAACAACAACAACAACAACAACAACAACAACAACAACAACAACAACAACAACAACAACAACAACAACAACAACAACAACACAACAACAACAGCAACAGCAACAGCAACAAGCAACAGCAACAGCAACAACAACAGCAACAACAACAACAACAATCATTTAAGACTGGGAACTCCGTTCTCACCAGTGCCAGGGTTTTCATAGGAGGCGGGCAATACCCCCACTTTGTGGGGGGGCCGGTTCAAGCTCTACCAAATTTCCAAACGACTCTTCGCCACCACCCACACCCAGCTTCCCGCCCTATGACGTTCGGACACTTCACTTCGTGGCATGCGGACGACCGTGGCTACTATTCAGGGCCCCGCGGCCGACGACGACGGCGTGCGCGCGCGAAGAAAAAACGAATGTGTCCCGCATGGTATTATTTGACAGGGATGATGGCCCTGGCAGGTGCGCAACCGTTGTCGCAGAAGTTCGAAAAAGTTGCTCGCAAAAGCCCGTTTGACAGAAATTTTTAAAAAGTGTTGGGTTTCCTACGAATCCGCAAGAGCGCGCGGGATGAGATTTTGACATTTTTTTGTTGAAAAACCATTGGTTTTTTGATGTTTTTATGTTAAAATCGCTGCGAACACTAAGGTTTTGGAAGGATTTCGTCTTGCGCGCGCGAATGTCCACTTTACCTTATTTTTTGCAAGGGATTCTTGAAATTTGATTATATTAGAACAAGAAATGTCATTTTCTATTGTTTTTGCAAGGGAAAGCGGATTACAACAAAACAACCGGATCCTGTACACACCCTCTTTTCTGAGGCTTCCTCACGAAAATGATGAAAATGTAGCTGCGGCCTAGGCGGCGCAGGGGGGGCGCGCACCAGGGGGCCCAACAATAATTATTCTTTAGAATAAATAATGTTCAACAACAACAACAACAACAACAACAACAACAACAACAACAACAACAACAACAACAACAACAACAACAACAACAACAACAACAACAACAACAACAACAATTACTAGCACGTGGGGACACTCCGTTCTCACCAGTGCCAGGGTTTTCATAGGAGGCGGGCAATACCCCCACTTTGTGGGGGGGCCGGTTCAAGCTCTACCAAATTTCCAAACGACTCTTCGCCACCACCCACACCCAGCTTCCCGCCCTATGACGTTCGGACACTTCACTTCGTGGCATGCGGACGACCGTGGCTACTATTCAGGGCCCCGCGGCCGACGACGACGGCGTGCGCGCGCGAAGAAAAAACGAATGTGTCCCGCATGGTATTATTTGACAGGGATGATGGCCCTGGCAGGTGCGCAACCGTTGTCGCAGAAGTTCGAAAAAGTTGCTCGCAAAAGCCCGTTTGACAGAAATGTTTAAAAAGTGTTGGGTTTCCTACGAATCCGCAAGAGCGCGCGGGATGAGATTTTGACATTTTTTTGTTGAAAAACCATTAGTTTTTTGATGTTTTTATGTTGAAATCGCTCCGAACACTAAGCTTTTGGAAGGATTTCGTCTTGCGCGCGCGAATGTCCACTTTACCTTATTTTTTGCAAAGGATTCTTGAAATTTGATTATATTAGAACAAGAAATGTCATTTTATAGTGTTTTTTGCAAGGGAAAGCGGGGGGGAACAAAACAACCGGATCTTGATCACATCGAATTACCTGAGGCTTCCTCACGAAAATGATGAAAATGTAGCTGCGGCCTAGGCGGCGCAGGGGGGCCGTGCACCAGGGGTCCCAACAATAATTATTCTTTAGAATTAATAATGTTCAACAACAACGCCGTCGAGAAGGAATGGGGGCTCCGCCCCCACCCACCTGCGCGCCATTCACCCTGGAATGGCTTCCTCCCGAAGCAGACCCCATGATCAGGAGACAGGAGGAGAAGGAGGAGGAGGAGGAGGAGGAGGAGGGAAGGGGAGAATGGAAGGAGGAAAGAAATGAGGAGGAAGGAGGAAGGGAAGGAGGAAGGGACGAAGTTTCCTGGCGTGGCTCCCCAGAGGTCTGTGCCCCTCCCCGGGTACATTGGATACTGGCATTCCTCCTCCTCCTCCTCCTCCTCCTCCTCCTCCTCCTCCTCCTCCTCCTCCTCCTCCTCCTCCTCCTCCCCCTCCTCGACCTGAGTCGCCTCTTGGTGGCTTCGGGGCCCCGTGAGGGCCCCCTGGCGGCCGCAGCCGGCCAAAAAACCTGCCGTTTGCAGTGCGTGTTCGCGAGGAGGAGCGAAAAGGAGGAGCGAGGAGCGAGGAGCGAGGAGGAGGAGGAGGAGGAGGAGGAGGAGGAGGCGTAGGAGGAGGAGGAGGAGGAGGCGTAGGAGGAAGAGGAGGAAGAGGAGGGGGGAGGAGGAGGAGGAGGAAATGGAAGAGGAGGAGGAGGAGGAGGAGGAGCGAGCGAGGCGCGAGGAGCGAGGAGCGAGGAACAAGGAGCGAGGAGCAAGAGGAGCGAGGAGCGAGGGGCGAGGAGCGAGGAGCGAGGATGCACGAGGAAGAGCGAGGCGGCGAGGAGGAGGAGGAGGAGGAAGAAGATGAGGAGGAGGAGGAGGAGGAGGAGCGAGGCGCGAGGAGCGAGGAGCGAGGAGAGAAGGAGGAGGAGAAGGAGGCGAGCGAGGAGCAGCGAGGAGCGAGGAGGCCCGAGGGCGAGGAGCGAGGAGCGAGGAGGCCCGAGGAGGCGCGAGGAGGGAGGAGGAGGAGGAGGAGGAGAGGAGGAGGAGGAGGAGGAGGAGGAGGAGGAAGAGAAGGAGGAGGAGGAGGAGGAGGAGGAGGAGGAGGCGTAGGAGGAGGAAGAAGATGAGGAGGAGGAGGAGGAGGAGCGAGGAGGAGGAGGAGGGGGAGGAGGAGGAGGAGGAGGAGGAGGAGGAGGAGGAGGGGGAGGAGGAGCAGCAGTGAGGAGCAGCGAGGAGCGAGGAGCAAGGGGGCGCGAGCACGAGCGAAGCGAGGAGCGAGCAGCAGCGGCGTCGGCACCCCCGGCGGCGCGTCCTGCAGCCGCGTGCGGGTGTGCGGCTTGAACACTCTGCTCCGCGCAAAGACCAGGCGGCTGGACGTCGCCCTGTGCGCGCCGAGCGCCGCGCGCCCCCCCCCAGCGCGGGGGGGGGGGGGAAGGAGGGAGGGGGAGGGGGCAAGCTAGGTGCGCTCGCGTCATATCTGACATCCTACCCCTCCCTCCCATCCCTTACCATGGCGCAGATCCCCTCTCTACTCGCACAGTCGGATGTCGAGCAGGGCAATGATCCCGAAAGGGTACGCGATGCATTGTAGAGCACGGCATGGCATGGCGTAGAAGAGCACCGCGAAGCGTAGTATCAACCTAGCATTGCATTGCATGCCGTGGCATGGCACGGGAAATGACGCCAGCGCTGCAGCGGGAGCACGAGTCGAAACGAGCGGAAGCGCGGAAATGAGGCCAACGCTGCAGCGGGAGCACGATTCGGAACGAGCGGAAGCACGGAAATGAGGCCAACGCTGCAGCGGGAGCACGATTCGGAACGAGCGGGGCCCGAAAATGAGGCCCGCGCCTCAGCGAGAGCAGCATTTTGAAAAAAATGCCAGCGAAAACCCAACTCCCGGGAATCCTGTGTGTAAAAAAACCGGACGCGGGGGGGGGGGCGAACACTCCCAGCACGTCATCAGGGGAAGAGGGAGAGTAGTATTCATATTGAGTAATTGTAGAGGGTGGGAGAAGGAGGAGGGAGGAGGAGGAGGGGGGGAGGAGGGGGGGAGCACCCGCGCGAGCGGAAAATCCGACTCGGGTGAGCTGGCCCGAAGGCGCCTCGCGGTGCAACGCCAGCTGAAGCCGAGGCCAAAGCTGAAGTGCACAGAGAAATGGAAAGGGCCCACCTTGCAGGAGGGAGGGGGAGGGGAGAGCGGGGTGAAGAGAAGCTAGGTGCGCAGGCGTCTTGTCTGACGTCTTGCCCCTCCCTCCCATCCCTTATCATGGCGTAGATCTCTCGTCTCTATTCGCACAGTCGGATGTCGAGAAGGGCAATGATCCAGAGAGAGAGTGGGAATGTACATGGACGGTTCGGAAACAGCGGAAGCGTAAAATTAGAGCCAACGCTGTAGCGGGAGCACGATTTGTAAGATCCGCAACAAAGAAATGAGGTCAGAGCTGCAGCGGGAGTAGGGCTTGGAAGGACTGGGAGCCAGAAAATGGAGACGACGTTTTAGCGGGAGCGCCACCCGGGAAACACCGAAAACGTGCGGATTGGAAAAGCAAAGTATCGACCACCATTGGGGGATCCCACGAAGATAAACAATGCGCGGCGAGGGGCAGGCTGCGACCTCGGGGTCTTCGTGGGAGGGAGAAGGGTAGTATCCATATTGTCTAATTGTGGAGAGGCGGGTATGGAAAGAGAGGGGAAAGAGAGAGAGAGAGAGAGAAAAACAAAAAAAAAAAAAAAAAGGAAAAAAGAGAGAGAGAGAGAGAGAGAGAAAAAAAAAAAAAAAAGAGGGAAGGGCAGGGAGGGAGAGAAGGGAGGGGGGGGGGAGAGGAGAGAGAGAAGAGATAGAGAGAGAGAAGAGAGAAAGAGAGAGAGAGATAGGGAGGGAGGGAGAAGGGCGGGGGGGAGGGCGGGGAGGGAGGGGGGGGGGGGGAGAGAGAGGGGAGGAGAGGGGAGGGGAGGGGAGGGGAGCGAGGGGAGGGAGATAAGGGGGGGGGGGAGAGAGAGAGAGAGGGGGGGGGGGGGAGGGGGGGAGGGAGGGGGGGGGGGGGGGAGGGAGAGAGGGGGGGGGGCGGGGAGGGAGAGAGGCGGGGGGGGGGAGGGCGAGGGCGAGGGGAGGGAGAGGGGGGGGACGGGGGCAGGCCCCGTTCGCGGATGTGCGGGGAGAGGGAGGACCTCCTTCGCGGGGGGCGGGGGGGGGACCTTCATCCGTCTTGGGGCGGCAGGTTCCCCGAGGCGCGGGCACCTGGGACCGCTGTTCGCAGCCCGAGGGGAGGAGTCGACCACGGAGCGAGACAAGTCTGGGCGGCCCGAGATCTGGGGGCCTGCGGATGCCAGCTTCGGGACCCGGCGCCGCCCCCCAAAGAATTGGTGGTCCCCAAACGTGGTGGTGAGAACACCTGGTAGTGAGTTTTGGGCGATTTGGGTAATGGTTTTCGAGCGCTGGCTGGCCCAGGAAACGCAAAACCTCGTGGCGACCGCGTGTCCCTAAACCCGGTGGTGACCCAGAATTATTTTTTGGGGGAATCGGGGTCACCACCGGGTGTCTCACCACCTGGTTTGGAGCCCGCCGAAAGAACCATCCCGAGATAGGAGGCGGGCCCCGCAGGAGGGGGCCGAGAGCTCTGGGGGATCCCGTCACGACCAGATCGGGACGACAGAGGTCTGGCGAGGGGGAGCGTTGCTTCGTCCACTCGCCACGCGGGAACAAAAGGGGGAAGGAAAGGATGGGCAAGCCAGCTCGGAAGCAGATGACCAGACACCCACAAGAGAGTGGCAGACCACCCACACTGCCAGGCACGAGTTCCGGAAATCCCCACCAAACAGTCGAAGCCTGACAAGTCCTCGCGAGGATTCAGACAGTGGCACAAGCTACTCCCGCCTGTGCCAAATGGTTTAGCGAGCTTCATCTTGCAACCAGCTCTTTCGCCTTCGGGGTGGGCGTTCATCACCGCTCCACATCGTTAAATAAACACCCCCTCCCCCGAGACCGCCAGCAGGCCCCCAAGAGGCCCCACAGAAGCTGCAAGAGCCCGAAGAGGCCCAAATCAGAGGCCAAGAGACCCCCAAGACATCCCGAACCGCATCCAAGAGGCTTCCGAGAGGCCTCCCAAGAAATCCCCGCAGGCATCCAAGAGGCCTCCGACCTACAATCCAGGCAAGGTGGTGGCATGGGCCGAAGGCCACTAGATCCGCCGCCCCCTGAGGCTTGCCACAAGGGTGCACGGCGTGCCAAATGTCTGGCAACTGTTGTTCTTTTCTGAAAACTCCCAGTGGGCCCTCGGTCCAGCCGCCAGCCACCTGGAAAACGCACCTCCCGTCGGCTTTTGCGCTCAGGATGGCTTCAAGATGGCCTCCGAGACGGCAAAGATGGCCCATAGACGGCCAAGACGGCCCTAAGAGATCCCAAGATGGCCCCAAGACGGCCACCAAGACGGACACGAGATGCCTCCAGACCGCTTAAGATGGTCCAAGAGAGCCCGGCCCAAGAAGTGCCCAAGATGCCCCCAAGACGGCCCAAGAGGCCTCCAAGAGGTCCTCCAGAAGGCCCGAAGATTCCAAAATCATGAACTGTCCCTTGGTGTTTGAAGGATTTGGGCAGTTGCGTCTTTTCGGCCTTCCGATGGCCCAAAGCAGCCGAAGAGGCCTCCAGGATCGCCCCAAGATCGCTCAAGAGGCCTCCAAGACGCCCAAAAGGCTCCAAAAACGGCCCCAAGATCTCCCCAAGACGGCCCAAAAGGCCTCCAAGACGCTCAAGATGGCCTCCAAGACGACCCTGAAGCGCTCCAAGACAACGTCTCATGGTGTCAGACGGGCCAGGAGCGATGTAAGACTGTCAAAGAGGGCCTGAAGGAGTCACCAAGAAGCCCCCAAGAAGCCCCCAGAGGCCCAGGGAGGCCCCCAAGAAGCCTCCAGAAGGCCCCAGGAAGCTCCCAAGAGGCCCCAAGAATGAAGCTCCCAAGAGGTCTCATCATCATTCTCCTCATCCTCCCTTTTCCTCCCTCTCCTCATCCTTCCCCGAAGGGCTTCCACAACGGCTGGGGGAACGCATGGTCCAATAGCGTGGCCAGTATTTGCCCTAATGTTTGGCCACATAGCCGAAGGCAGTTGGCAGCGGTCATTCGCCGTCGGCGTCTTCGATCCGCCACCCCCGGTGGTCCTGCCATGGGGGTGCACGGCGTGCCAAACGCTGATTTGCGGCTGTCCTTCTGAAAGGTTCCCAAAGACCTTCGTCGGCCTTAAGCGCCGGCCACCTGGAAAGCCGCCGAACTTTCATACCCCGTCGGCCTTTCCACCCAAGAGGGTCTCAAGACGGTCTCCGTGACGACCGAGATGGCCGTCCAGCGGCCAAGATGGCCCCAAGAGAGCCCAAGATGGCAGCAAGATGTCTCCAAGACGGCACAGGATGACCCCTGTCCCCAAGATGCATTCAAGATCGCCCAAGACGGCCCGAGAGGTCTCCAAGACTGCAAAGAGGCCTTCGAGAGGACCGCCAGGACGGCCCCAAGAGGCCAAAAACATTGATTCCCTTGATTTTTGAAGGATTTAGGCGTTTGCTCTTTTTCGGCTTCCCGGCGGCCCAAGACGGCCAAAGAGGCCACCAAGATAGCCCCAAGGCCTCCTGGATGGCCCCCAGACGGCCCAAGTCCCCCAAGACGGCCCCAAGAGGGCCCCAAGACGGCCCAGCAGACCTCCAAGGCGCTCAAGATGGCCTCCAAGACGGCCCTGAAGCGCTCCAAGACGGCCCCAAAGTCGGCCCCAAAAGGGCTTCGTTGCGGGTGCACACACACACACACACACACACACTACACCATGTTTCCCGACGTGTGCGGCCACGTGCACCGGCGCACCCTGGCGCACCCTGTGCGCGTCGCGCACCTGGCACAGCTGGAGTAGGCGGTGCACCTGAAGCATGTGGAGCGCATGGCAGATGGCGCATCTGGCGCACCATACGCGCCTGGCAAACCCTGGGCCCCTGGGGCACCTGGCACGCGCAGCGCACCTCGCCAGCGCCGCAGACCTGGTGCCTGGATCGGTTCCCAGTGGATGTCCATCCGATGGCGGCCTCTGTCTGGGTTGAGTCTCGCCTGCAGTGCTTCTACATGGTGGGAGGGCGGGTGATCGTGAGCGAGACAGCTTGTGGCGTTCCCTCTGGGAACTTTGAGCCCTCCCCCTGGGGGGGGGGGGCTGGGACATGCCGTCGGGCGGAGCCGTCGGGCTGAGTGGCACCGTGCTCACAGAACAACCCAGAGTGGGCATGAGCTGTCGGAAGTCCGCGCGGATCTCATGGATCGGCGCTGGAGACCCCCTGCCTCCCCCCCTCACAGCGTATGATGTCATGCTGTGGTATGTTTCACTGTGGCATAGCATCGTATGCCACGATGTGTCGTTGTATGCCTTTTCATGGTATGGAAAGAGATGTGATGCGATGATGTGATATGATGCGGTGTGTTCCGTCATGGTATAGTGTGCGGTGCTTTGTTATGCAATGCAACGTTAGTATATGCAGTGATATGGTATGTCATGTATGCTCCGATATGTCATAGCATGCGCTGGTATGCTGTGTTGCGCTATAAAATCAAATGGCATGGTGTGTGGTGATGTGGCATGTTCTGGTTTAGTATGTTCAGTTATGCGTTGGTGTGTTATGATATGATTGTGTTGTCATGATATGGAATGTGCTGTGATGTGATGATATGCTCTGCTATGGTATGCACTGTTCTGCCATGGTGTGTTATGTGACGATGTGGTCTGGCATGATATGGTACGTTATGCTCGGATCTGTTCTGTTCGGTGATGGTGTTATGCTCTGTTATGTGGGGGACCTGGGGATCTGGCGGCCGCGGTATACAGAGCGGGAGAGTCGGCGCGGGGGGCGGCACCCTCAGGGATTATCGGGGGACCTGGGGATCTGGCGGCCGCACTATGCAGAGTGGGCGAGTCGGCGCGGGGGGCGGGGCCACCAGGGATTATCGGGAACCTGGGGATCTGGAGGCCGCGGTACGCAGAGCGGGCGGGCCAGGTCGTATGTTCGTAAAATCAAACGACCCCAACCTGTCGGGTAGGAAAAACGGAAAGACGTCCACCGTGACTATTCTGCACGACGCGAGCATGTCTGCAACCATTAGCATAACCTCATGCTCCGCTGACCAATCTTATTTTCTTACTACTGTTGTTGCTGCCACTGTGATGTTTCTGCACTTATTTCATGATTGGTAGAAGTCGTGTTATCAATCTGTTTATAACAAGTATTACTGATCGCTGTCTTCGTGTTGGTCTTGCGGTTATTGCTGTTATTGTTCATTCTTTGGTATAATTATCCTTCTTCTTATCAGCTTATCATTACTAGTGTTCCTATTATGAGTATCATTAGTATTATTATTACTATTATTATTAATATTATTATGAGTATTAATAGTACTAGTATTATTCGTATTATTATTAGTATCAGTGTTAGTATTATTACTAGTAGTATTATTATTAGTAGTGGTAGTATTATTGTTATTAGTATTATTGTTATTGTTATTATTATTATTACTATTATCATTATTATTATTATTCGAATCGGCGGTTCGGGGTGTGGCTGCAAAGGGCGAGGATTGCAACAGGCACCCTGTGGGGCACCCTGGGGGCGGGCGCGGACCTCGACTGAGCTTTCAGCCGCGCCCGAGGAAGGCCAGACAAAAACAGCGTCGTGCCCCACAGGCCCCCACGGTGCCGATCGCAGACCACAACCCGGCGTAACCACCGCACCCTTCCCAGACATACGGCTGCTCCAGTTTTATCGATACGTGGGATCGGTAGTCGTCCGAAAACGGCCCAAAAACGCAGGCTCCAACTTCTGAGCTTGGAGTCGCCGAAAACGGCCCCCCAAACCGCCCAGTACGTCTGGGCTTCGAGGCCGAAAACGGCCCCCAAAACCGCCCAAAACGTCTGGGCTGCGAGGCCGAAAACGGCCCGAAACCGCCCAAAACTTTGTCGGAGCGTCGGACCTCTGGGCTTGCTGTCGCCGATCAACTCGGCCGCGCGGGGCCGCCGCCTGTCGGGCTCCCGGGCCGCGCGCTTCTCGGGGGCGCCACCGCCTCGCCGCGCGGGCAGCGCGCGCGCGCTCGCAGGCGGCGGCTGCGCGCGGGCGCACCGCGCCCGCGGAGGCCCCGGCGGCCAGTTCCGCGCCCCCCCTCGCGCCGCCTCTTCGTCCCTTTCCTGCTCCTCCTCCTCCTGTTCCTCCTTTTCCTGCTCCTCCTTTTCCTCCTCCCTCCTCCTCCTCCTCCTCCTCCTCCTCCTCCTCCTCCTCCTCCAACTCCCCCTCCTCCTCCGCCTCCTCCTCCTTTTCCTCCTCCGCCTCCTTCGATATCCACGATGTGTGCATATTTTGTTGCAAACGGAGGTCCTTCACAATTTGGAGTTGGTGTTCTCGTTGGTTTAGGCCCCTTGTTCTTTGTACCCTTGGACATGACGACGTCTTGAACGCAGGCCACGACGACGTCTTGAGTGTGTTTCCAGGGACTCTCACGCATTCCATCTTATATCCAACTTTGACCCGGTCTTCGTTCAAGCTGAACGTGTCGTCTTTGTCGGCAACCTCGACCGCTGAGTCTATGACTAACGGCTTTCTACACGAGCGTGTCCTGATCCAGGTGCACCAGCAGCGTCTCCACGACCCGTCCTAAAGCGTTCGGTCACTTCCTGGATGTCCCTGAGGTCCATTGATTTGACGAGTAAAATCGCTCCGACGTTCTCGCGGCTCGAGGCTCGTAAAGATGCCAAGTTTGGTGCAAAGCTTGAGGGTGACGAGGGGTGGCACAGGGCTTCCCGCTTGGTCTCTTTGGCTCCGTCTCCTTGGCTCTTCCAATAGAGGCTGCTGTTGTTGGGCGCGATTCTGCGGGGAGCTCCAGCTTTGATGCGTTTTGGTGTTCGGGTCGGTCGCGTTCCCGCGATTCTGTGGAGGCAGCGCCAGGGGCCTCCCCGTAGGAGAAACCTACTAAACTGGCGCGGTGGCGCAGCCTGTAGCCGGGCTCGTACCTTGATCGCGCATCATGGGCGCAAGTGGTGGTGTCGGGCGCCGCCTTGATGATGATGACCACGGCGAGCGTGACCTGTTGCCCCTCCTTGCCCGTTGAGGAGCAGCTGCTGGTCGGTTCACTCGTTCGGCGTAGTTCTGTCGAGCACATCCGAGGACTCGACCTTGCCACCAAATTGAATTGCCCGAGGATTGTCCAAGAAGTGTCGGACCGGGGCGCTGCCCCGATAGAGGTAACTCGTCGCGGTCGAACCAGGATCGGCACCTGCATCGCCCAGCGCGTCGAAATTCGCGCTCTCGCACTTCAGCTCGACATATCTCGGGCGGCCCCCGATGGTTCGATCCGAGTGGGGCGCCCCCGCAGGCCGCGCAAGTCCAAACACTCCCCTGCCTACACGCGGGAGCCGAGGCGTCTCCTCCAGAGCGCCCATTTTGTACATGGTCTCCTCGGGACCCCAGTCGCCCCCGCAGTGGCCGGGGAGGGCGTCGTCAAAGGATACACACAACTTTCGACGCCTCGATACCCTGTCGACGCTGGTTACGGGCTCGACAGAATGGGCTGTCTGGCGGGGCGTCGACCACGCAAACGTGGCAGGTTGGGCATGCCCAGCCCGGGAATGCCCACCTGGTCGGTTCTTCGTTGGCATTGGTTGGCATTCACCTGGTGCTGGGTCGTAGTCGACGAATGCGGGGATAACCGCCTCGCCATAGACCAAGCGGGTCTGTCTTCGGAGCCGGGTCAAGATCGGGGCCACGCGGCAGCGGCCAGCGGCGTTCCAGTTGAGGCGCGATGCCCGGAGAGTCCGGGCCGCGGATCGGTGCCTCGCTCAAGTTTCCAGGGCTGCCCGTCATGAAGTCCAACAGCAATGCAGACCCCATTGGGCCCTCGAAGCTACCGTCGCCGCTCCCAAGTCTGAGGCCACCTGCGAAGCCCAGGATCTGCGTCTCATGGGCATGGCCGTCGATCATCTCATCTGCGAGGTCCACGTCGCTATCTGGCGCGTCGCGCGAGAGATCAACGACGCACACCACGTCGGGGTCACTGCGGAAACCAAATCACGAGGCAGGTCGCGCGGGGCCCTGCGCGCGCCGGCCTCGACATCGCCACCGCCCCCATCGGCGCACCAGTTGGGCGTTCGGACTGAAGGAGTCGACAAGCAACCACTGCGCGCAGATGCCTTTTCTCCTGCAGGGCCTCCAACTTCCTCTCTGCTAGAGCACAAACCATTTGTCATGGCCTGATGCTGCCACACCAGATCCGCACGCCGGGCGTTCCGCGGGGTCAACGACCATCTGTATCAGATGACGCCTGGCCACGCACGGCCTCAATCGGCCCTCTGGCACCGCGCCCCGGGGGCGTTGCGCCGGCAATCAGCACCCGGGGAACTCGGATGCAAAACCTCAGGCTCATCTGCACGAAATGGCGCGCGCCCAGCCAGCCCGAAAACGGGCAGCCCCGACGACGAGGCGTCGGGGCCCAGCACGGCGTCGTCGTCGTCAACGCCAATGACCTCGCAGCACACGCCGCGCGCACGTTCAGCCACTGGCTCGAGGCGGTCGGCTTCCCCCGGGCACCTCTACTGCAGGGCGCAATAGTAGAGCGCCTCATCTCTCTGTCCGGTTCCTTTGTTTCGGGTCGTGCTCCCACGTGACGATCGTTGATTGAGTTGTCACGATCTATCTTGTCGCGCTCAGTCACGTCGCAGTATATCAGGTAGAGGCATCGCTCAGTAGACCCCATGAAGTACAGCTGCTCTCGCTGGCAGCACTCCAGCGGGTTTAGGTACTCCGCGGTGCCCACAAGCAGCGCGCCCAAGGCAGGGGCGTTGCCTTGCCCTGCTGGTCGAGAGCAATCTCGCGCAAGGTGCTGCGTTGAGCCACAATTGCGGCACGTCATCATCTGGCCGCCCTTGCCGGCCTTTGCCACAACCGCCAAGGCGCAGCTCCTTGTAGGCATCATCCTTGATGGCTGAAATATACATCGGAATGCCTTTACCAGCGAGACGACGGTGGCCTCCGCGGCCGCGTCTGCCCACGCCTTCGGAGAGCCCGCCCCGTGAATCGGCGGATTCGGCGCACCAGCTCGCACGCGCAGCACGGCACTGGCGGCCACTCTGATACTGCTTCGAGCAGCACACTTCCGCGAGGTAGTTCCGGGCGCTCTCGGTCTCGTAGGCTGAGACGGCGCCCGCGTCCGCGCCGCTGTCGCGGCTCCCTTCGGTCTCTCCACAAGAGGGTCGCCGCGCGCGCGCGGCCGGCGGTGCGCACGCGGCGACTGGGGGCGCACAGCTGGTCAAGTTTCCTCGAGCGCCACGCGGCCCGTAAGTGGCCGTTGGCCTAGATCCAGCGGCAGGAGCTTCTCCTGGGGCATCTCGTCGCTGCCCATCTTCTCATGGAACTTCCCTGGCAAGAATGCATCCACCACGCGGGCGTCACTTCTGCCGGCGCCGCCCCATCAGTTGCGCGACGTTGCCCAGCGCGCTCGGCGACGCGGCGTCGACGACCCATCAGCTCCAGCAGCCCGTCATACTCGTGCGGATTTCTGGGCATCATGCCGCTGAGCGACCGCGGAAGTGACGACACTTCGCGCGGCGGGACACGGAGGCTCGAACCAGCGTTGCAAACAACAGTCGACAGCTGTCAAAACCAAATCCTGCCGAGTCGCCCCCCATCCGGGCAATCTCCCACCTAGAAGGCACACTGTCGATCCTCTCGTCGGGGTGGACGCGGAAGTCCACGACGGATTTAGCTGGCGCTCATCTTCTAGGCTTTCAAAAACCTGCGCCAGGTACGTTAGTGGGTCAGTTCTAAAGCCATTTATTTCTGCTCCGAAATCGAAAGCCACGGCTGGCATCCGCACGGCGGTAGTGCGTGCCAGGCCCTGGAGGCTACGTTGTAGCGCAACTGCCTGCTGGGGCGGCGTCATGCGTCCTGCGTGGACGTTGAGCCAAGTACGCACCTCGCGGATCCGTCGTACATGTCCAGCAGGATGCCACGAGGGACCTCTGGTCATGGCAACGAGCTCGTAGATTGCGCGGCTCAGGTAGCTGACGCGGTCGAGGAGATGCGGGCCACGCTTCCATGAGCGGCAGGAAGTCTAGATAGGTTCGCGAGCCAGCGCTCCCCGATCTCGGAGATGCGGGGGTCTTTCGCGCCCCCGCGCTCGCACGTCGTGTAAGTCGCGATGGAGGTCGCGGTCGCCGCAGAGGCGGTCGAAATTCCTCGCGCGCTATAGAGGTGGTGGCAGTAGGACGGCCCTAAGGGGGCCCGAAGAGGGGAGGATCTCGTCCTCGGGAGCCTCTCCTTTTAAGGTTCAGCCCACAATTCCTTTTCCTCCCTCTCCTTTTTCCTCTCTCGCTTCCTCCTCACAATATCCCACCGAGGGCTTCCACAACTTGGGCGCCCGAATTATCCGGGGTAACTCGGGCCCGGGGTAACTCGGGTTCGGATTCCCGAAAAAGGAACCCGAGTTAGCCCTGACCCGAGTTACCCCTGATGATGTGGGGCTCTGGACGCCCGAATTATCCGGGGTAACTCGGGTCCGGGGTAAGTCGGGTTCGGACTCCCGAAAAACGAACCCGAGTTAACCCTGACCCGAGTTCCCCCTGATGATTCGGGGCTCTGAACAACGGCTCCGGGAGCACATTGTCGCATAGCGTGGCCAGGCTCCGGCCCAACGCTTGGTCGCACCGGCATCTCCAAAAAGGCGAGGGGGGCTGCGGTGGCTCGCCGCAGGCGACCTCGATACAACCCTGACTGTGGAGGCCAGTCCACTAGAAACCTGCCCCAAGAAACCCATCCCTGAGACCCCAGGACGCCCATGGATTCTTGGTGTGGGATCGTCACGCCTTCCACGGCCAAAGCATCGAGCCCCAGGAAACCCAGGGCACCCTGGAGGCAAGCAGGGTGCCTCTTGGAGTGGGTCTCCACTGTATCCCCCCCCCCTGACGTTGCCGCTGATCCTCTCGGAGGTTGCCAGAATGCGAGCCTGGACCCCGAGGTGCCCCAAGATCTTCGCGCGCCAGTTTCTGGAGCCCACTGGCGCCCTCGGGGGCCTCGGGCGGGTGGGGGGCTCTGGAGGACGTCTTGGCCTCCCCGGAAGAGATGGGGCCACCACTGGGCCAGGACCGCATCGCCCCGCTCTTCCCACCCTCCGAGCCTCCTGCCTGCCTGCCCTGCCGCACCGAGCGCCTTCCACCAGCACGGAGCGGCCGTCGTCGTAGCACGAGGCCTCGCCGAGCCGAGCGGCAGACGTGGCGGCAGCGGCGGCAGCGGAGGCAGTGCTGGCGGCGAGGGGGGGGGAGGAGGGAGGGAAGGATGAGGCTGGGTGGAGCGTGAAAAGGGGGGGGAGGGGGGGGGGGGGGGGAACACGGAGGCGCAGGGTGGAGGGAGGGAGGGAGGGAGGAGGGAGGCGGGTGGAGGGAGGAAAAGGAGGAGGAGGAGGAGGAGGAGGAGGCAGGAGTCACCAGAGCAGGGAGGAGGGAGGAGGGGGAGGGCATGGCGGAGGAGGGGCGCAGGCAGGAGGGAGGAGGGAGCAGGGGTGCAGGGAGGAGGGCAGAGGCAGCGGGGAGGAGGGCGGAGGAAGCAGGGAGGGCGCCGGCCCAACTCTCTCACCCTTAGCGCGCTGTGGGGATCTTTCAGCCCCGCCTCCTCCCAGCTCCCTCCTCTGAAAATCGTTCCTCCCTCCTCTTGCTCCTCCTGCGACGCACATAGACAGACTTGTACCGTATGTCCTCCTTGGAGGCGCGCGTCCGACCCGAACACCTAGTAGACCCGTCCATGGATTCTCGGTGTGGGATGGTCGCGCTTTCCACAGCAAAACCATCGAATCCCAAGAAACCCAGGGCACCCTGGAGGCAACCAAGGTGTTTTTGGGCATGGGCCTCCACTGTAGATAGCATTAGGTCGGGCATGTCCCCCTATAGGCGGATTTGGGACGAAAAATAAACTACCCTGCGACGTACCCAACCCTTTTTTTATACATGTGGTGGTTACATTCAGGACCACTCAATACTGACGGGCATGCAGAAAAAAAAGCGCAGTGCGGAAGAAGAGCACCCATCAGTGAACTCAGAAGAGCGCAGCAAGAAGAGCAGCGGCAACGCGTAAGACGTACCTCTGTTGGGCCTCCCAGGAGCCCACGAAAGTGGCGACGGTTGCGCAGATCGCAAGCCCCCCAGGGGGCGGCGAGCTACCAGGGCGATCCGCGTGGGACCCACCTCCGCTGGGCCTCCCAGGAGCCCACGAAAGTGGCGACGGTTGCGCAGATCGCAAGCCCCCCAGGGGGCGGCGAGCTACCGAGGTGATCCGCGTGGGTCCCACCTCCGCTGGGCCTCCCAGGAGCCCACGAAAGTGGCGACGGTTGCGCAGATCGCAAACCCCCCTGGGGGCGGCGAGGTCCCGAGGTGATCCGCGTGGGACCCACCTCCGCTGGGCCTCCCAGGAGCACACGAAGGTGGCGACAGTTGCGCAGATCGCAAGCCCCCCAGGGGGCGGCGAGCTACCGAGGTGATCCGCGCGGGACCCACCTCCGCTGGGCCTCCCAGGAGCCCACGAAAGTGGCGACGGTTGCGCAGATCGCAAGCCCCTCAGGGGGCGGCGAGCTACCGAGGTGATTTGCGTGGGACCCACCTCCGCTGGGCCTCCCAGGAGCCCACAAAAGTGGCGACAATTGCGCAGATCGCAAACCCCCCAGGGGGCGGCGAGCTACCGAGGTGATCCGCGCGGGACCCACCTCCGCTGGGCCTCCCAGGAGCCCACGAAAGTGGCGACAATTGCGCAGATCGCAAACCCCCCAGGGGGCGGCGAGCTACCGAGGTGATCCGCGTGGGACCCACCTCCGCTGGGCCTCCCAGGAGCCCACGAAAGTGGCGACGGTTGCGCAGATCGCAAGCCCCTCAGGGGGCGGCGAGCTACCGAGCGTGGGACCCACCTCCGCTGGGCCTCCCAGGAGATCCGACGCAGATCGCAAGCCCTCCAGGGGGCGGCGAGCTACCGAGGTGATCCGCGTGGGACCCACCTCCGCTGGGCCTCCCAGGAGCCCACGAAAGTGGCGACAATTGCGCAGATCGCAAACCCCCCAGGGGGCGGCGAGCTACCGAGGTGATCCGCGTGGGACCCACCTCCGCTGGGCCTCCCAGGAGCCCACGAAAGTGGCGACGGTTGCGCAGATCGCAAGCCCGACGGCACGAAAGAAGAGGAGAGGGGAACACAGGAAACAGGAGAGGAGGAGGGGAGGAGAGGGGAGGAGGAGGAGGAGGACGGGGCGACCACACTGCTCTATTCAAAACGAGTACCCAACCGTAGGAGGGTTGGGGAAAAATGCCATTCCTATTTTCCTCCTCGTGGCTAGCTCGGGCCTGCCCCTCGGGGCCTGCCCCCCCGAGCTGCCTGGAGCCCCCGAGGTTCGAGAGCCCCGATCGCGGTGCGCCCCTCGAGAGCCCCCCCCCAGACCCCTTTTGCTTCTCCTCCTCCTCCTCCTCCTCCTCCTCTCCTCCTCCTCCTCCTCCTCCTCCTCCGCCTCCTCCTCCTCCTCCTCCTCCTCCTCCTCCTCTCCTCCTCCTCCTCCTCCTCTCCTCCTCCTCTTCCTCCTTCCTCTCCCCTCCTCGCCCCTCCTCCTCCTCCTCTCCTCTCCTCCTCCTCCTCCTCCCCTCCTCCTCCTCTCCTCCTCCTCCTCCTCCTCCTCCTCTCCTCCTCCTCCTCCTCCTCCTCCTCCTCCCCATTTCGCCCAGACAACAAATACGAAAGCGCCCACACGCTGCAGGAGGAGGAGGAGGAGGAGGAGGAGAAGGAGAGAGGAGGAGGCAGCAGGCAGGAGCAGGAGGAGGAGGAGGAGGAGGCGGAGGAGGCGGAGCGGACAGCGGAGCGGACGCGGAGGCGGAGGCGGGGCGGAGGCGAGCGCGGCGGAGGCGGAGGAGGAGGTGGAGGAGGAGGTTGAAGGGAGGAGGAGAGGAGGAGGAGGAGGAGCAGGAGGAGGAGGAGGAGGAGGAGAGAGGAGGAGGGGAGGAGGTGGAGGAGGGGGAGGGGGAGGGGGAGGGGAGGAGGAGGAGGAGGAGGGGGGAGGAGGAGGAGGAGGAGGAGGAGGAGGAGGAGGACGAGGGAGGAGGAGGAGGAGGAGGAGGGGAGGAGGAGGAGGAGGAGGGGTCGCCCACGCCCTTGGGAGACACCCTCCAGGTCTGGGCTCTGCAGGCGGGGGGGCCCCCCGCCTGCAGGGCCCGCGCCCGTCGGCAAGGCAGCGAGCGAGCTCCGCCACGGCACGGGCGCCCCGACCCGCGGGGCGCCAGCGCCGCGTCGGAGGGGCCTCGCACGCGCTCGTGCCACGGGCGCTCCGCGCGCACTCCGGCAGGGGCTCTGCACGCCCCGCGCGCGGCGCCGCCTCCACGACCTGGTGCTCCCGAGGAGGAGGAGGAGGAGGAGGAGGAGGAGGAGGAGGAGGAGGAGCAGAAGCAGGAGGAGGAGGAGGAGGAGGAGGAGGAGGAGGAGAAGCAGGGAGGAGGTGGAGGAGGAGGAGGAGGAGGAGGAGGAGGAGAGGAGGAGGAGGAGGAGGAGGAGGAGGAGGAGGAGGAGGAGGAGGAGGAGGAGGAGGAGGAGGAGGAGGAGGGAGGAGAGAAGCAGGAGGAGGAGGTGGAGGAGAAGCAGGAGGAGAAGCAGAAGGAGGAGGAGGAGGAGGAGGAGGAGCAGAAGCAGGAGGAGGAGGAGGAGAAGCAGGGGGAGGTGGAAGAGGAGGAGGAGGAGGAGGAGAAGCAGGAGGAGGAGGAGGGGAAGCAGGAGGAGGAGGCGGAGGAGGACTAGGCTCTGATTGTCCGCCCGTCGGCATGGCAACCTCAGCCAGCGGCACGAGCGCTGCCACCCGCCGGCTCTCCATGAACGAAGGGATTTGCTCGTCAGCCTGGCCTACCGCGCACAGGATAGCCAGGGCAACGTTTGCGTTTTTGTTCGGGGGAGAGAGGGGCAACCTTTTTTCTTGTCAGTGGCGACAGGAGCCGGGGAGAGAGGGAGGAGGAGGAGGAGAAGGAGGAGGAGGAGGAGGAGGATGCGGATGCGGAGGAGGAGGAGGAGGAGAAGGAGGAGGAGGAGGAGCAGGAGGAGGAGGAGAGAAGCAGGAAGAGGCGGAGGAGGAATGGGCTCTGATTGGTCGCTGGTCGGCATGGGAGGGGCAATTTTTTTTGTCGGCGGCGACATGGGTCCAGGACGCGGTCGGGAGAGCCGAGGGATACATCGGAGCCGACCCTGGGCACAAGGGAAGGAAGAGAGGGCGCTGGGGGAAGAAGAAGATGAAGGGGCCCTGGGACACACAAATAAATAGACACAAATAACAGGATTCCCCATATGTTCCATATTTTCTGGGTTTTCGTCTTCCCCCCCACTTCCCATATTTTCCCATATTTTCTAGGGAATCGACGATGAATTGTGTCTGTGTCAGGGGGACTTTGGACGAAAAATCGGAGGTCGGGGGGTGAGATCGAAGTGGAACGGAGAGCCCCCCACCAGGAAATCGGTTTCGGTTTCGTGTTCGTGCGTGCCGTGCGTGCGGGCGAGGCGAAGCTGCGTGGGCGGGCGAGAGGAAAGTCTCCTGCGGCTGAGGCGCGTCCAGACCAAATGGTTCCCCCCCTGGCAATCAGGGCCGCGCGGTGTCCCGCCGGTGTCCCGCCGGTGTCCCGCTGGTGTCCCGGTAAGTCTCCTGTGGCTGAGGCGCGGCCAGACCAAATGTTTCCCGACCGGCAAACGGGGCCGCGCGGTGTCCCGCCCGTGTCCCGCCGGTGTTCCGCTGGTGACCCTGTGTCCCGCTGGTGCGAAAACGATAGTGAGACCGATAGTGAGATCGATTGTGAGATCGATTGTGAAATCGATAGTGAGATCGATAGTGAGATCGATCGAGTGAGATCGATGGTGAGATCGATTGTGGGATCGATAGTGAGAGCGATAGTGGGATCTATGGTGAGATCGATTGAGTAAGATCGATCGTGAGATCGATCGGGTGAGATCGATCGATAGTGAGATCGATGGAGTGAGATCGATAGTGAGATCGATGGAGTGATAGCGATAGTGAGATCGGTAGTGGGATCGGCAACGAGATCGAGAGTGAGATCGACAGTGAAATCGATCGAGTGAGACCGATAGTGAGATCGATCGAGTGAGATCGATATCAAGGTCGATAGTGAGATCGATCGTGGGATCGATAGTTAGACCGATAGTGAGATGCAAATCGAAATGCTGATCGAAATGGAGATT